GGTGCTATTACTGCAACATATACGTGCAATTTCTCTCTCTCGTTTGGTTATTTTTATGGCATTTAATGTAATTTACCTCCTCCGTAATTTTCGGGGGACGTTGATAATAGGGTTACGTCGTAGAAAGGTCGGGAATTTGTGAAAGTTATTGTCGGGTATGGCGGCAAGTTCCAGGGGGATAGTACCTACCTTACTTTTTTGTTAGACGCCACAAACTACCTTACATGAGAGGAAAGATAACTGCTTGTGCACACGGCAGTAAAAACTACCGCGATTAATGAAAAATACACGCAGGCAGTTACGTGGCGTGGTGTGGCCCGGATGGACGTAACCGGTACTTCACTCGAAACTAGGACACAATCAACAACTAAAGGTTTCTTTGCCTATTTGACAACCTACTATACACCCGAGATCTCTCGCGCAACTACCAAACCAAATACCGTGTCGAATGACGCTACCAAACGCTATAAGGATTTAGCAGCCGTAACGTTGTCAACGTAAAAGGGGACAACGATTTATAGCATCACAACGGTTTGTGAAAATAAAGGCCTGATTAGCCCAATAAGGACATACATAGCCCCTGACAATAACGTAGGGCGGTGATTAAGGTGTTGTTCAAACCTATGGGAGTGCTAAATCGGATATAGAGAACTCAGTTGAAGTGCAGAAGGAACAGAGGTTTTGTAAAACCAGAGAGTCGGGTGAAAAAGTTAAGAAACACTTACCAGAATGACTCATCCTCAGGAGAGCTCCCGAAAATTCCGAGAGGGTCTGGAATCCACGAATGAAAATCCGAATTTTAATGGAAACACTTCAACGAGAAATCACTATGTTAATCCGTCAGATTTAAATTCTGACTGTGCGGAAGTACGAATCCTCAAAGAGGATTTAAGCGGTCAATCCTCGATTGAAGAATCGGGATCTAGGAAACACTTATGCCCGTGACCAGATATACTTACTGGGACGAGGGTAACGCGACTTGTTCAATCTACGGTCGGATAGGGCACGTGACTCTAAATAGCAGTGATTAACATTTCGTGAATGAGTAGTAAACATGTGTCACAAGGGAAAAAGACACCAAGCAAAAAGGTTCCGTCCAAACGGTAGGTGAATGGACAGCCTCCAGCCAAGTCCATCAAATATTCGGTACCATTTAGACAAGTGACTATATAGTGTCCTCCCTCACTACGTCGAAACAGACTTCTAAGACGTACTACTCATAACAATCTACAGGTTCTCGTTCCTGACAGGAATCCATTCCTAGTCGAAAAATTACACGATGCGAACTTGTCGATGTCGATTTTAACTTTCTGTTACTTGTCATCATGTCTGTATTCTGCTAACTGCACTGTCCATAACTATTTGATAGGAATACATTTCTAGCCTAGGCTATTTCCTTGTTTTTCGGTGATTTAGTGGGCTCGTTTGTGGGATGTTGCGGATGAGTTTCACCGAGACCGCCTACTCTGAACAACCAATCACCGTACTGACCGCTTCTAAACTCATGCACGAGAATCGACGTCATCCATAGCAACGGCGCGTCACTCTTAGTGATTTATCCTTAGTATGAGTAGGTCTCAGCGGCTTTGTGAATAACTTTTAAGAAAAAACTCCTACGTAAAATGTTTTAGCGCGAGTTAGGAGCACTCCTAGCGGTAAGATAAAATGCTTTGTGAATACGGCCCCTGATCTGCTGCCAGGATATTCATATTTTATAAAGGAAAATTAGCAAATAAAAGCCTGTCTGGTGTGTGATGCACTGTGGTTGCAGAGATAGTAGTGCTGGAAAATTATTAAAAGAACTTTGATTTAATAGCCTAATCGAATGTTGGCTTTGCAAAAACATTTAATACATTTTCGAACATCTTCCAAGAGGGATTGATTGCAAACTTGACATACATCACATATTATAAAAGGTGGAATTTAACTAAGTTCACTTCAGTACACTTTTAAAATACTGGTCTTCGTTAGAGTATTTTCTGTGGCTTTCTGTTGCTGCACTGAAATATTGCACTCTTTAATCCTTTAAATGTATCCGACAGTGTAACTAGTGACCTTGATTTAGGAACTTTTGCACAGACAACTTATGGAAAGTTTTTCTACAAAACCAACTTTTTTTTGTTTTTATTTAAGTTGAAACGTTTAATGTCTGTATGGGTTCATTAGTATTTAAGTATTTCCAAATATACATTTTATAATTGAGTTTTTGTTCATACAAAAGCATTTCATGGTTCTTTTTTCTGAAATTTGCTGATTTTATCTTTAAGCATTTTGCAATTTGACTTAAAAGAAATTATCTGAAGACTTCTTTCACCCTTGCCTATAATATAATTGTTATGAGAATAACTGTGATTCATGTGAATACTTGGTGACTACATGCAAGTAGAGTTCATTCTTATTCAATTGTTTAATTTAGGAGTAAGTAGCACTTAGAAGCAAAATAAAGATGCCTGAGGATAAGAGTTGAATAGCCCTTCATGTTCTTCAAATGTCCAACAGAGGGCAGCAGAGTGTTTGTTTTAGCATGAGTGAAACATGACAGCAATTGGAGATGCTCTTCATTGTTTTTAAGCAAACCCATGAATTATGACTGTACAGTGCATGCACGTAACCTATAAAAGTTTACAGCAAAAAATAACTATATTTTACATTGTATAAAGCAGAGTCAAAGGTGGATAAAAACACATTTTACTTTTAAATTGACCGTAAGCAGTTATCTTATTCTCTATGCTTCAAAGGCACTAAACATAACTATAGTGCTTTATTCCTGTGTCACAAAAGCACAAGTGTAAAAATCCAATAAATATGGTTGAATTACATTTAGCTGTCAGTTTCAGGGTCCTGATATTGTACCTTAATGCTGTTAGACATTTACCTGAACACTCGAATGGTACAAAGCCACTGTTAAAATGTCCTGATACAAGTAAATCGATTTTAGTTTAAATATTAAAGTTGAAATCTACAAGAAGTACACAAAATCAGCTGCACTCGAGTTAGAATGCAATTCCAGACAGGACATTGTGCTTAGCCTATAGCTAAATAGATATAGCCCAGAGCCATGAGTTACTGTAGCTTCACTAACCAAAACAACATATTGATAATTGTATCATTAGTGTGTATTTACATTAGTAATATACCCATCATCTAAGAAGAAACCAGAAGGAGAATTATAACAAGCCAAGGAGTCTACTGTCATGCTTGCGAATAATTAGCTAAATGCTAAAATCAGCAAGCTAACGTGCTAATGTTTACCTTGTTTGCCATTTTTATTTAGAGTGTTATCATTTTAACATTTAACAGTACAACTAAGGTTTATGTCATTAGTTGTTCAGCTTTTTGGTAAATAAAATGGAATACAAAATGTGACCTGACATGCTTGAGGGGTCATTCAAGTTTTCACAACTAGACAGTGCCAAATTCCCAAGAAGGCACTTCAAGACAAGACATTTTACTGAATATATTTCACATGCTACCAAAAACCCACCTGTGACCAGGACCCGGTGCTCCACTCGGGGGGGCAGGCCTGGGTGTGGCAGGGCTGGACCTGGGCAGGGGAGATGACGGGGCAGAGGGAGTGCACCACCCCCTCCTCCCTCTGATAGGTCACTTTCCTCAGGCAGCGCAGCGCCCTGGTCTGCTGACCTCCTCCACATGAGCGACTGCAGGCACCCCAGTCTCCAGTCGCCCAACTGTGGGGGGAAACGCCAAGAGAGACATGGTTAGGAGGGGGGGCATTACAACAGTTATTTGTCTAAAACATTACAATACATGTCATTTATCTGCGGTTAAAACCAAGGTGACTTACAAACAGTTCTATAATAGTCCTGCCTACGGAGGAATTTGGGGTTATGTTTCTTGCGTAAGGACAGTTCCAAATGTTGACTATAGTTGTTGGGGATCGAACCACTGACCCTTTGATTGGTAGGCGCCAATTTAACCCTGAGCCACAGCTGTTCTATCAATCTTTACAGTAAGTTTAATGAAAACATAAAAAAAAAATACTGGAGACTATTTTTGTCGACAAAACATCACATTAGACTTTGGGAAATTGGGGATGGGCACTTTGGAAAATTTGGGATGGATATATCTTTCTAGCTCTACTACTGATGAAAATCCTTTTGTGATTGGATATGCTAGAATCTCTAGCCTATACTCACATTAAATTCAGTCTCTATCATCAGAATACCAACAACATGAGGCAACTCCTAACTCCTAGTCAATGTCTGCTGCACTTATTTTGGGCCTACTGATTATTAGGAGTTTAAAATCGTCAGGTGGAGAACCGGGCTTTTCTTAAGAGTTATGATTCATGAAAACCTAGACCTTCTGCTTATGAATTACTTATACTTTAACACATTGATCTTTATCATTGCACAAATTGCTAGTTAAGAGCAAACAAAGATATTACACAGACTGAAATAAATATCCATATCCATCCAAATCTCTCCGTACTATTCGGATCTGAAACTAAACACAACCACCATTTTGTATATACGACCATCCATAACTGCTATCCCAGGTTTGCCAGGTCAACCACAATTTACAAAAAGTCTACGGACAATCCTTTTCTTTCTTTTGTCTTTTTCTTGATTTTTTTCACTATGTATCTATTTTTTTCACCTGTCCCGGTATTTTACGAATCTACTCTCTCCTGTCCTCTCTTTAATTTAAGTGTCTTTGAAATCCTGCTTCAACCCTGATGAAAGCCTACTGCTGCTTCTAAAATAGCTTCTGTCTTGGCATTGGGGCTGAAGGGGAGAGATTACAGCAAATGAGTGGTCTGACAACCACAGGGCTTAGAAGAGGGAGATGGAGAGATGGGCAGATGGCTCAGTCCGGTTCTGAGACAACACGCTAACCGCAAAGACCATTCCTCCACGCCGCCGACCTGCTTCTGGGGAAGAAAAATGCTTTCATTCCCTTTCAAACGCCACAGGAAAACGAAGCAGAAGGACTAAACTGCAATTTTTAGTGCTTCGCTGCAAACCACCACTGACCTAGCTGTAATTTGTATCTCTGAAATATTTCAATTACTGACATATTTTGGGGTAGAAGTAAGCAATACTGTTGAGAAGGTTCTGAGAAGCTCACCCATGCATTGGTATGGTGGTTCCTCACCCATGAATGAATACCTATTCTTAAGTAAGAGCGAAGTCGTTCTGCCGAAATATATGACCATATCTGCCAAACAGGTGGCTATACTCCGATTAAAACTCTTAACATGTTTTTTTTTAAAACATAGGTTTATACCCTTTTACATTTGTGTGGCTTGGCGTACATGAACATTTCAAGACTTATTTTGCTTGTATAAACAATCATTTTTGTCAGCATTTCAATCCAATATGGTCATCCAATGGTTCCAACAGTTGGATTCCTTTCTTTTAGTTTCTTAAAATGATGGTACTTGTACTAAAGTTCTTATCCAAACTTTTTACTGGATATAAGTGCACTCCAATCGGTCTTTTACACTGAGCCATGTTGAGAACACAGTGAGAAAAACCGGTGTAACTAATACAATTAAGGATGGCTGAAATACCATTTAGCTGCTTCAGTTTCAAGGCCCTGTTATTGACTGGCTCACTGGCACCCTGCATTTTGCATTAACATTTACTAATACTAAATGTAACACTTTAAAATAGTTCTATTAATGAAATGTTCTCTTAAGCTCAAAAGATACATTTGATAGAGTATAACGATATGTTTGATACCTTGATTCTTTTTTAACTAACTTCTATATATCTGGTTAACAATATAATCCCTCTTTCTCTGACCCTATCTACTTAGAGTAGAATCTTTGGTTTTTATTATGTTAAGTTTTAGCCAATTTCATATCATTTTATTCATTTATTGTACAGCTTCTACCTTTTTTATAAATGGATTAAAATAAAGCAAACTTCCAAAAAGTCATCCCCCAGGCCCAGGTCAGTATCATGCACATATTTTTCTATACATCTTTCCTGGAACAGGCACAACATGTCTCACTTTGATCTGTATATATATGCTGCTGTGTGATGCACAGAGGAATCCCCAACCTGTGGTAAGTGACTCCACAGATGGCCTTCAAACAGCACAGATACAACTATATAGGAACAGAAGAGTGGAAGCTAGAAAGAGGTAAGAATTGACAGCTGTGCGGTGGAGAAAGCAGAAAATAAAATGAGCATATATTTTCCTAAATGTACAATGGGTTTTGAGATTGAACAGTCTTCCTTATTATCCAAGTGTTCCTTATTTATGTTCAGGAACTACTGCTACCAATGGAAATTCTGAAGTTTTTCCTGACAGTCTAACTGTAATTCTGGGAGTGAAGGTTTGTAGCAAAAAGGGGGTAGATGGGAGTGGAGGGATGGGGGGGAGTTTGACTGGCTCTGCATGGCTAGACTGGCCGGGCCCCGTGGGAATCCTGCCGTCTCTGCACAATAAAACATGGATAGGCCTGTCAGCACCCGAGATACACGCCGCAGAGATAAGCAGGCATTTTTACATTCCCCCTCCTGTGAAACACACACACCGCGCACATACATCCCACCTAATTGTCAATTTTTCTTTTCTCTGCTGGGTTCTTCAATGCGCTCCCATACATCCTGGAGTTCTTAATGCAGTCATTAAAGCTTTCATGCTGCTCACTCAACTCAACTTTTCTTCCTTTGCAGCGCCCATAAATTGGCCTAAACACACAACCAGCTGAGAAATGGTGTCAGCTACTGTATAATACGATCCACTGTAGTCAAACACTGCTTTTATTTTCAAGAATGGACAACCATACCAAGGTTATTTATCTGGGCTATACCTTTTTTTCACTCATACAAAGCAAGGGGGAAGGTTGGGACACGCATCGAGGCTGTTTAATACCTTTCGCCAAGATAAGAGAAATTGTATGCCCAAGATTAGGGGCAGGAAATGCCCTCTCGGGTGGTGGGAAACTTAGTGAGAAACAGAGGCTGTATGTTGGAGGTGTAACCGATAGCTGTCTGGCTTGTTCAATCCCTGACACGGGAGAAAGTTCAGTCCGGATTTGTTGTGGCACGGGCAATTGGTGGACAAAATGACAACATCCTTAACATCAAACAGAAGCAGCTTCTATTTTTATCCCAGGGCCTGGTTCCGAAATACATGATTTCAGCGTCATGTATTCGGAAAATGTGTGCGCAACTCTAATTATGCATGCGCTGTGTGTGTGTGTGTACTCTCTTTGAACCCAGGACACGGTTCCCTGCCTGTTCTTTGGAGCAGCGCTGTAAATCAAGCTAGCTCCAGTTCCCCCAGCCAAAGACCTACATACTGTAAGAGAGAGGCCATTTATTCAGCGCTGTTTCAACATGTTTCTCCACTGCACTTTAGCCTGGTTCCCTCCTTTTCTTGCGTCCCCAAAAGCACAGCCTGCTTTAAAAATTCATTCCATTAAGCACAATGTCTAGACAACGGAGATAAAACATGGGCAGGATCTTGCTACTGAGAAAGACAATCGCTCTGGGCAGTGAATTTTTTAGAGAGTGATGATATGCACTGAAAGCAACAATCACTCTGAGTTGGCTTTTATGTCTCCCTCCCTTTCCCCAGCCTCGTATTTCTTTATTTGTCTCTCTCTTTCTTATTCTCAAGTGTTCCTTGAAGAAAAAGGACAATTTCAAAACTTAGAAACATCATTAGGTTTTACTTCATGAAAAAAACCACCATTTGGTTTAATATCGTTTCAGGGCCTGTGAAAAGTTTGGGTGACAGTGATATAGCCAGAACACCCACAGAATAAATGTTTGATTGTCCAAAAAACTAACTGTAAAGTTTAAGGTATTTAAATGACAAAAGGCGATGCTAGAGGCTAGCCTTCCCCTAACCCCATCATTTCGTCAGGCTGAACCTAGGTACCCTTAGGTATGCTTTAAACAGCATGTTAATCTTGCCATGCTAACATGCTGTGACAAACAAGCAGATAATTAGCACGTAAAATGTTTACTATGTTCACATATTGTTTGTTTTCCCATTAGCATGCTGACGTTAGCTAGTTTGCGCTAAACACAAAGTCAAACTGATACGGTTTGATATGTCTGGAGACACAAATTTCCATAAAATTGTTTGTATTAGTGTAACTGGTTAATTGTATTTCCTTTTTTGCCTAATTTCAGTAAAATACCAGAATCTGCCTTAGAAATCCAACATACCTTGATTACAAAAACTATAGTCACAGAGTATGATATTCCTATAAATATTACTGAGGATATTGTTGACCTGCTTATTAGCTACAACCTTGTTTTCTCAGCAGACGACAGAGCTGGGAACACACAGTAAAGTGTGCTTAAATAATCTACTCTTAAATGCAGTGTTCTTGTTAGGAATATGTATTGAAGTTTTAGTCCTCTATTGGTTAAATTACAAGGTCACATGATCATACGATAATCCCTCTTGTCAGTCCTTAAGTAATGTGTTTATTTCAGAACCAAAGTCTGACGGACCAATTAAAGTCCTGTTTGTAGCTACTGGTAGCTGGTTTAGGAGGTCAAAACCACCAATGGTGGCACCTATTAAGGCTACCATTGATGCAGAAATCTCATTTTAGAATTGGAGAATTCTTAATTGAAAGAACAAAAATGATAGTATTTTGTTATGGATGTTACGTGCCAGGCAGGCTGTACTTGTGTGGTTTTCCTTCCCTCCTGTGTTTCTCTCTTCTCCCTGTCTTCTGCACAGCTAGTCAGCAGCTGATCGGTATCTGCCGGTGCACCCGAGTCTGATGGCTGATTGGATCCTCTCACCCTCAGCTGGCCTATCAGCAACCAGGGCCGACCATAAAGGAGGCACCCAGGAAGTCTTCTCACTCTCTCTCATCCTGGGCCTGTTGCTGATTGAGGAGCCTGCAATTGACTGCCTTGTTTAGAAGCTCATTCTACTTTGTTCTGACCTTTGTAAATGTGTGTGTGTGTTGAGAGGTGGGGGAGTTAGGTAAGTCTGGGGTACCCTGTACATTTCTCATCACGTGGATAACTAATGTTAAGACACACTAGGTTAGCGGATTGTTGCCACCCCTGTATTCTGTTTTGTCCAGTTCTGAGTAGTTTAGTTAGTGAGGGTTTTTGTTTTTTGAGTTTTTGGTTTCAAAGGATAGATGCTAGAGATAGGCCTGTTTTGTTATGCTTATTCTTTTGTTTGGGCACAGATCTCCTTTGCTCCTCCTCACAACAAAGAGTATTTCTGTTAATTTCTGTTCAGTTAGGTTTTACAAGTAACTAAACCTTTTTGCGCAACCTTTATGCTGCACTCCTCATTTTTATTGGTTGTTGTGTGCTTATTGTCTCAGCGTCCCTAGACCTTAGTGTGGGGACGTAAAATTTGAAAAGATATGGACGGTGATTAGATAGTTCATCCCAATCACATGCCAATTAATTTGTGGAACGTTGCCTCCCAAACAGTTTCCAATTGATGACTTTTTGTTAGATTCAATAGCAGTAAGCAAGACTTGCATACGAAAACAGATGTCAAGGTGGAACCCGGTTAGTGGAACTTGGCAGGCATAAGACCATTCAGATTTAACACCGCGATCAATGTCCTAGACTGGTCTCTGGTCACAATACCAGCAGTAGCAGACACTAGTTGTACACCATAATTGTGGAGGAAAAAGGCTCCAAGCTCGAATCATAGAAGGAAACCGACTGACATGATTCGTCAACGTTACTGATAGCAAGAGTGCAGAAATACAAAGCCTCAGAAGGAACGCAACAAAAGTGGAACAAGTACTATACAAGAGTTGACATGCCAGAAAGAAATAGAACGAACGAAAGAAGATGAGCAAATGCAACACCGCAATAGTCAAAAAAGGCCCTCTCTCCACCTGAGCCCTCCCTCGCATTTCAGTCAAATCCCTCCTCGACTCCTCGACCCTCCGCGCGGTTAGGTGAACTCCTCTCCAGAAATTAATTTTACAGCCACGCCATGGTTGAGAACATTCTAATTTTCTCTAAGATGACTTCGGAGGGAATCAGTAAAAACACGGCAGCCACCCAGCGACAAAAACAACCGCAAAAAACTGCCAAACGCAATAAAATAAACGGAGGAAAACCGAGGATCAGAAGACAACGTCAGAAGGAGGCTCTCTTTGAGGAGCTGAATAACGAGGACTACACTGATGGGGTCCTCGACGCCTCACGGCTCCTTTCGCGGATGCAAATTACCACACACAAAAAACCACCGACCAGCAGATAGTTCACACGCAGTCGCAGACGCAACAAGTACCGACGGAACCGGAACCGTCAAAAGTACAGCCACATATACCCAGCTCTGCACCACGACAAGAACGCAATGCACTCCCATAGCTATAATTTTATTAACTAGCCTGTCAAGCAGATCCGCCATCCAAAGATAGTTAATACAGTGCAGCACGGCCAGCCTGCTGACAATACGGTCCCGTGCAGATCCAAGCAGAGCCCAAGTGTGATGAAACTAAAAAACATACTAATACTCCAAATTCACTCAGATATAACAGACCACTGTAACTCTCATTATAATTAGCACTAATAAGTTT